GGCTCCTCTATCACTGGATGCTCTCCCTCTTTGAGTCTCCTAAATGGGGTGACTGTGGGAGAAGATTCTCCGAGTTCTGGACTTGGCACTCCTCTTATCTGACTGCACAATATGTTTTGGGGTCCTCATCTACCACCACCCAGGGCTGATGGCTCCTAAATCTAAGTTCTGGCCCAGACTCCTTTCCCCAGGCCCACACTCATGTGTTCAACCAGTTGTTGGACAATTCCTCTTGGCTATCCCACAGGCCCCAAATTAAACTAATCTTCTTGTTCGAATCAAACAAATTTAAACAAATTGAATTCATCGTCCTTGCAAACCTCTTCCTCTTCTTTTTATGCCACGTCTTGGGGAATCACACCACCACGTCAGAAATCTTATGTCATTCCTTCCTCCCCTACCTTCGCACCCGAGATCCTAGTGGTCACCAAGTGCTTTCTCTCCTGTGCATGCCCCTCCTTGTATTCCCACCACTACTGCCCTCGTTGGCAACCTCATTAATTCCCACCAGAATTACTGCAAATGCTTCATAACTGATCTTTCTATCTGAATTCATTCCTCACACATCCTGCAGCATGAACTTTTTGAAGCACAGATTTGTGAATGCCTGTGCTCTGCTTAAAAGCAATCAGAGGCCCCTCACTACTAAGGAATGAAATTCAAACTCCTGGGCATGATATTCGATTTTTTTTTTCCCAGACGGAGTCTTGTTCTGTCGCCCAGGCGGGACTGCAGTAGCGCAATCTTGGCACACTGCAAGCTCCGCCTCCTGGGTTCAAGCCATTCTCCTGCCTCAGCCTCCCAAGTAGCTGGGACTACAGGTGCCTGCCACCATGCCGGGCTAATTATTTTTATTTATTTTTATTTTTTGTATTTTTAGTAGAGACGGGGTTTCACCATGTTAGCCAGGATGGTCTCGATCTCCTGACCTCGTGATCCACCTGCCTTGGCCTCCCAAAGTGCTAGAATTACAGGTGTGAGCCACCACACCTGGCTGATATTCGATATTTTTAGCCCTCCCGGATCTGACTCTTGCCCACCTCCCCTGTCCACTTCCTGTCTCCTCTGCCCCAGTCCTACTGAACTATGTGGTCTCACATGGTACTGTGTTCTTTCAAATCTCTGTGTGTTTGAATATGCTGTTTCCTTTGTCAGAAATGCCCTTCCACCACTATCCTTCTCTGCCGCAATTGCTAACTCTTCTCATGTGTAATCACTTAGCCTCAGCTCTCCCATTTCGTGAGTCATCTTCCCTAACTCCTCCCTCTGGATACGTGGAAGTCCCTCCGATGTGCACTCCTAGCAGCTTGTGCAGGACTCTCATCACAGCTCTCATCACGCTTTATTGCAATGGTTTTTTCTTTTGTTTTCTCTCCTGCTAGATTGCGAATTCTCACCAGCAGTAATGGTGTCTTATTCTTTTGTTATTTTGATGCTCTGATCACCTTTTCTTCCAATCTAATCCTTTCTAAATATTTTTCATTTATTTCTGAATAGGCAACATATTCATCTGACTGAAAATTTGGAAGTTACGTAAGGTATAAGTGAAAAGTCTCTCTCCTACCCTTGTCCCCACCTTGGACACCCTAGCTATCCCGTCTCCCTCCCCAGCAGCAATCAATGTTATCAATTTCTTGTGAATACTTCTAGAGATATAAAATATATATGGTCCCTTTTATTTTATTTTATTTTATTTATTCATTATTTTTTTAGACAGAGTCTCGTTCTGTTGCCAGGCTGGAGTGCAGTGGCACGACTCGGCTCACTGCAACCTCTGCCACCTGGGTTCAAGTGATTCTACTGCCTCAGCCTCCTGATGACTACAGGCCCTGCCACCATGCCCGGCTAATTTTTGTATTTGTTTTGTTTTGTTTGTTTTTGAGATGGAGTCTCTCTCTGTCGCCCAGGCTGGAGTGCAGTGGCACAATCTCGGCTCACTGCAAGCTCTGCCTCCTGGGTTCAAGCGATTCTTCTGCCTCAGCCTCCCGAGTAGCTGGGACTACAGGTGTGTGCCACCATGCCCGGCTAATTTTTTGTATTTTAGTAGAGATGGGGTTTCGCCATGTTGGCCAGTCTGGTCTCAAACTCCTGACCCTGATCCACCACCTTGGCCTCCCAAAGTGCTGGAATTACAGGCGTGAGCCACCATACCTGGCCCATGGTTCCTATTTTATATACAAATGGTATCATGTTGTATAGATTGTGCTGCACTTTGTTTTCACTGAATCATATATAGTATTGATGATATGATCATTCCATGTAAGTGCATACAGAGCTTCCTTATTCTGTGTTTACACTAATCAGTTTTCCATTGTGGATATGTTATGATTTAACGAATAAACATTAGGGTGTTTTCAGTCTTTTGTGAATACAAATAATACTGCAATGACTTAACTTGATAAAACTCACTTCACACATGTGCAAGTGTAATGGTAGAATGAACTCCTAGAGGTGGAACCGCCTCCAGATTGAGGAATATGTGTATTTGTAAGTTTTGAACATGTCCTATTGCCTTTCAGGGAGTTTGTAGATATTATTGTATTTATCTCTGCACCACTAGCTACCATTACAGAGTCTAGAACAGAGTAGGCATTCAGTATATTTTCATCTAATAAACCAATGAAAAAAATAACTCTTTTAGGAGAGGCTCCCTTCTTTTTCCTTTCTCTGATGCCTTGCTTTCCCCATCCAGTGCTCAGTTCAAACCAAATGATTCATGTTCAATCCAAATGCCACTATCGTTTTGGAATAAAACTCTTATTCAACTATTGTGTAACTAATCAAGATCCTTCTCATTAGCTTGGTTGTAAAATAAGGTCACATTTTTATGTTCTAATTATAATGACTTTGAGTCCTCACCCCATAATTTTGTGAGATCTCTTTTTTTTTTTTTTTTTGAGACAGGATCTCACTCTGATGCTCAGGCTGGAGTGCAGTGGTGCGATCTCAGCTCTCTGCAGCCTTGACCTCCTGGCTCAAGCGATCCTCTCACCTAAACCTCCCAAGTAGCTGGGACTACAGGCATGTGCCATCATGCCCAGCTAGTTTTTTTTTTTTTTAGATAGAGTTCGCTCTGTCACCCAGGCTGGAATGCAACGGTGAAATCTTGGCTCACTGCACCTCTGCCTCCTGGGTTCAAGCCATTCCCCTGCCTCAGCTCCCAAGTAGCTGGGATTGCAGGTGCCTGCCACCACACTCGGCTAATTTTTTGTAGTTTTAGTACAGACAGGATTTCACCATGTTGGCCAGGCTGGTCTTGAACTCCTGACTCAACATGATCCACCCACCTTGGCCTCCCAAAGTGTTGGGGTTACAAGTGTGAGCACTGCACCCAGCCGCAGCTAATTTTTTATTGTTTGTTGAGATGGGGTCTCACTCTGTTGCCCAGTTGGTCTTGAACTCCTGGGCTCAAGGAATCCTCCCACCTTGGTCCTGCCAAAGTGCTGGTATACAGGCATGAGCCACCACACCCAGCCATTAAAATTTGGGGGACTCTTTTGTAATAACAGTTAGCTTAAAACACAAGCACATTGTACAGATTACAAAATATTTTCTTTCTTTATATCTTTATTCCAAAGGCTTTTTTCTATTTAGACAATTTTTTGCTTATGTTTAACTTTTTTGGGGGTTAAAAATGAAGACACAAACATAGCCTATGCCTACACCAGATCTGGATCATCATTTCACTGTCTTCCACCTCCATCTCGTCTCACTGGAGGCTTCATGGGTAATAAATGCACAAGCTGTCATCTGATGGTAACAATAATTGGGGCTAGGACGGTGGCTCACACCCTGTAATCCAGCACTTGGGAGGCTGAAGTGGGCAGATCACCTGAGGTCAGGAGTCGAGACCAGCTTGGCCAACATGGTGAAACCCTGTGTCTACTAAAACTAAAAAAAACTAGCCAGGCATGGTGGCGCACGCCTGTAATCCAGCTACTTGGGAGGCTGAGCAGGAGAATCACTTGAACCCGGGAGGCAGAGGTTGCAGTGAGCCGAGATCGTGCCATTGCATTCCAGCCTGGCGATAAGAGTGAAACTCCATCTTAAAAACAAAAACAAACAAACAAAACAAAAAAAACAAAAACACAATACTTGGAATACATGGAAAAAACCCACAATACTTGGAATACTTAGAATACATTCTGAAGGACGTGCCTGAGGCGCTTTACAGTTAAACTTAAAAACAAGCAGGAGTACACCCTAAATAGTGATAAAAATATAGTTGAATTCATAACTAGTAACATAGTTCTTACCATTATCCAGTATTATGTACTGTACATATCATATGTGCTATACTTTCATATGACTGCAGTGCAGGTTTGTTAACACCAGCATCACCCAACATGTGAGTAATGTGTTGTGCATGACCTTATGGTGGCTACTGTATCACTAGGTGATAGACATTTTTCAGCTCCATTATCATCTTAGGGGCCTCCCTAGTGTGTGCAGTCCATTGTAGACCAAAATGTCCTTATGTGGCACATGACTATAGTTGCAATACAGGACAAGAAAGTTCACCAATAACTGGGCCTTAGTCCGGATACTTAGTAGCTGGATGACTCTTAGCACTCTTTGTTTCTAATAACGTAAAATACGGAAGCTAATCGTGATCAGGTTGCCTTACAGGTTGTTGGGCCCTGGTCAACATATAAGTTACTGTGCAAAAAAATGATTTGATATAATTTAAGACTCTGTAATCATATAAACGTTAAGTTATTCTAACATTATTGTTTTTTAGAGGTATGAAATGAAAGGGGGGGGGAAACTTGGTCTGCATCAAGAACTGAATCATTTTACCACGCTCGGTGCTGGGTTATACTCTCCTCACCCAACAGATCAAACTCCTAACCCAGCATAAAAGATAAACTACAACTCCCGGCAGGCCTTGCCTCCGAACTGCGTCTTATAACCTCGGCTCAGGCCCGGGCCCAGACCGCTCCCCGCCCCCGCCGCCCATAAACTACATCTCCCAGGAGGCCCCACGGTGCCCAATTGTCCGCTTTTCCCCCGCCCCCTGCCTCCTCTTCACCCACCACCAGCAGCTCGTTGGCCGAGTCGGTCCCGCGGCCGGCGGATCGGGCGCGCGCGTCGGGGGTCGTGCGGCTGCCGGGCAGGGCGAGCACGCGCCGCGAGGCCTTGGAGGCGTAGGGGGCGGGGGTACGGTTCGCCTGCTCGCAAGATGGCGGACGAGGACGGGGAAGGGATTCACCCCTCAGCCCCTCACAGGAACGGAGGTGGCGGCGGCGGCGGGGGGTCTGGGCTCCACTGCGCCGGGAACGGCGGCGGGGGAGGCGGCGGCCCGCGGGTCGTGCGCATCGTCAAGTCCGAGTCCGGCTACGGCTTCAACGTGCGGGGCCAAGTGAGCGAGGGCGGGCAACTGCGGAGCATCAACGGGGAGCTGTACGCGCCGCTGCAGCATGTGAGCGCCGTGCTGCCCGGGGGGGCGGCCGATCGGGCCGGGGTGCGCAAGGGGGACCGCATCCTGGAGGTGTGAGTATCGGGGGTGCCCGCCGCCCCACCCTCCCCGCGCCCCTCCTCCTGCCCCTGCACTCCCCGCTACCCTTGTCACCCCCAGGCCGCACCTCCCCCGAGCTCCGAGCCGGCCTCGCGACCCCGGCCCCTCAGGCCTCCGCAGCCGGGCCCCTCCTTGTGGGCTGCCCTCCCCCCACCCGACCCGGGGCTTCTGCGACGCCCGTCTCCCACCCCGTCGTCTCCAGCTGATGCCCTTGCGCCCCCAGTGCTCTACCCTGTGCCCCGATTACTCTGGGCTCTTCTCCGCCCCTTTGCCTTCCCGTTTGGCGTGCTGCATTCTGCTCCTCACTCCCCCTCGTCTTGCTCAGAAGGAACCTCATCTGCTCCTTACTGACGGCGTTTCGTTTTCTGATCCAGCCAGTACCGTGTCCTCCCCAAGTTCTCATCTTCAGCATCGCAATTTCGTTCTCCACCACTCCCCTCCGTCCCCGTGGACTGCCCCTTCTGCCCTCCAGACCAAGTAGGCAGGAACTCTGGTCTGCTCCTACTTTTCCTCCGGAAACAGCATCCCTCCCCGCTCCACTCCTTTTTCTTTCCTTAGTTACCTTCTCCTCATGGTTAAGCTGCCCCTAAATTTTTCCATCCCACCGTGTGCCCCTTTCCTCCCCATGTTTTTGTATTTCTACTCCAAGAGTTTACCTTGCTTTCTGACCCTTGCATGCCTTTGGGGTAGGGGGCGTGGGATTTGACACTGTAGTTTCTCGTATCACACCCTAATTTGGAATCTAGTGTCTCCATCAGCACACCCCTCTGAGAGCATCTCTGCCCTGGCCTCCTGCCTTTACTCCTGCTCTATACTCATGCCTCCTTCTAGTCAGGTTTATGGTAGACCCCTTGTCACTCCTCCTCCTCCCAAACTACTTCAAGCCCTTTCTGGGTCTTTGACCGCTCTGCTTTTTTAGGGCATGCCCGTCTCTGCTGCCTCTTCTACTCTGTCCTACTGTGATCCCACACTTGACTTTGTCCTAGTCTTTCTCTCCCCTAGGCTGCTTTTCCTTTCTTCTGTTTTTTTAAGGCGCCTTCTGCTGCTGCAGCCCACCCTCTCTCCCCTGCTGCAGTCCCTCCCCCTTCATACGCCTTCCCCACCACATCCCTTCATGCTCTTGCGGGATGCTGCCTTGTCTTGCAATCTCTGTGCACACCTCCTCCACTACTCTAATCTAGGTGTTACATTTGTGTTTTTGTACTTTGTATTGAAATTCGGATAGTGATTGCTGGTTGACTTGCAGGCGGTGTGTGCTCGCATTGTCTCCGTGCACCTCAGCAGTCTTCAGTGCTGTGTTTCTTCTCACTGAATATATGTTGTGCATTCCTTTTTTACACTTTTACTCTCTCCCTCCATGTTTCGATTTGCCCACGTGAAATCATTCTCATTTTTTTATAAATTTTATTTTAATTGTAATTTCCACAACCTTCAGTTACCTCTTGTAAAACAGTAGGTTTGCAAAGGGGATAGTCTTTTGAAAATCTGCCTTATAGAGAAGTCCATTCCTTCTTACTCATCTCGTGCCATCTACCCTTATCCTTGACATTCTTACTCTATGGTGTCCACTCATTCTGTTTCCTCATCTCTTCTACCTCAAGAAATAGTTGGTTTTAAACTGGGAGAGCTGATTGAAAAAAAAAAAAGTTGCTCACCTAGGCCAGTGTTTGGAGGCAATATACCTTTCTTCTGTTCTTTCTGTAAATAGATGCTTTCCTGTTTCATTAATGTCCTATGTACTGTTTCCTAGTATTCCTAGTATTCTCTGACTATATATATATATAGATATATATATATATACTTTTTTTTTTTTTTTTTTGAGATGGAGTTTCGATCATCGCCCAGGCTGGAGTGCAGTGGCGCGATCTCGGCTCACTGCAACTTCCGCCTCCCAGGTTCAAGCTATTCTCCCTCCTCAGCCTCCTGAATAGCTGGGATTACAGGCATGTGCCATCACGCCCAGCTAATTTTGTATTTTTAGTAGAGACGGGGTTTCACCATGTTGGCCAGGCTGGTCTCAAACTCCTGACCTCAGGTGATCCGCCCGCCTCGGCCTCCCAAAGTGCTGGGATTACAGTAATGACTTTCAGATTTCTTATACTTGGGCACTTAATTATTTTCTTTATAGATAACTCAAAATTTGTGGCTGATGTTTTCTTCCAATAGAAGGTCTTGGAATTGTCATTTTCCTTTCCCTTTGGAAGTTAACTTTGGACTCAGCTTCTTATTTTTAAATTTAAAACTAAAGCATTTACAATTACGAATTTATGATAAAGTTCTAAATTATTTACTCTTCACAGGATCTAAAGGAACTAAACCAAAAAGAGTAATTCTGTAGCAGACTATAGTTAACATGATTTATCTTTGCAGATACACACATCCCAACATACATAGTTAGCGACTTCTTGCCTTTATTGTGGCTTCTGCCCAAGAGCCTAGATATAAACTGTAAAGGAGACCTCAGATGATCCCCTAGGAAAGGTAGAAGGACTTGCCTTAGGCTCAAGTTCCAGATTAGGAAGGTGGGAAATCTTTGCCTTCTAGAGAAAAAACATTGCTTTTTGGCACATCCTTTGTGGTAAGTAGAGAACTTTGTTGCTTTTAGTGGGCAGGGGAAAAGAATACTCTGCCTAGAAGACCTCTCTGGAAGGTTGTGGTAATCAGCAATCTTCCTGGCATTGGTTTCTCACCCTTCCAACTATATGTATTTTGATTTCCAAATTATCTGAACCTTCTTTGGTACTATAGGGGAAGTAATGATAATTACAGCCCAAAGCCAAGCTAGTGGTACATTCTGTGAGACCTCAACTATACAGTGTCTTTCTCTTTTCTTCCTTTCTTCGATAGTCTGTGCCTTATCTTTAGGGTTTCAAGTGAGGGGAAATCAGCAATGCAATAGATGTGGTTCTTGAGGGATATCTGTGCCTGCTACTTGTCTTGATCTTGGTTAGATGGATGCTAATTTTCCTAAAGCATTTTTTTAGGCAGTACTCCTTAGAGCTGTTGTCTGTCCTCCAAGTTCTTAAAGTTTACCTCTATTGTCCCAGGAAAGCTTTGCATGTTGATTAAGAGCCAGGTGGGGTCAGAATTAGGGATAGGTGGATTATCATTGTGTGGATATAGTTTATATCAAGTCGTAGGTGAACGTTTGGACCTTGGTAATTGGTATTTAAGACTTTTCCCTATTTTAGATTCTTCTATCATGTTTACAAATTGTTTTTATAATTCACTTGTTTGGACAACTGACAGAGATGTGAAAGAACAGAGTAACTTTTAAGGGCATACAAACTTGGACACAAGTAAGAGCATCAGTTTCTTTGTGTTTCTTTTAAACACAAAGAAAGGCTTACCAAGGCTGTCCTAATCTTTAGTCCTGAAACTAAATTGGAACCCATATGGTTCAGTTTGCCCTTTCTCCTTTCAAAACTAGACGTCTAGATTCTAACAGAGCTTAGTACTGCAGTATGAACAAGCCCTCTGGGCTCTAAATTTTACTGCAGATGGAAAGTTTTTTTGACTAGCAATGCTGGTTTCCACCTTGTAATTTTTCCCAGTGTAACATATACTGAGTATTTTCCCTTTGATGTGTATGTACCTGGAGGCTAATGAGTAAAGAATGCTTTCAACAAACAGAACCAAAATAAATATGTCTTTGCACTAATTATATAGTATGTGAAGTAACATTTGACTTCAGGTTAATTTTCTTAAGGTTAAAGTAGTTCCAAGGACTCTTGATTGATTTCTTGAGAGATGCTGCTGGAAGGTTTTCATGTGCAGTGGATATAGATATAAAACTGTCTGTATTTTTGAGGGATTAGTTTAAGCATGGACCACTAAGATTGGCTTGCAAGCATTCAGAATCATGATATATTTCTGCTAGTCAGTGTATATGCTTTCCTCCTTGATAGCCACCAGATAATAGACCCATCAGCTTTCCCTCATTAAAGTCATACGATAAATTAAAACTGTGTATATCAATTTGTTTTTTGAAAGTCAGTTTTTTAACTTCATTTTATGTGAGAGTCTGAAAATGAATAAAGAGACTGGTGCCACAAGAAGTATTTTTATGAGTTAAGTGTGAGTCATGTAACAGACTAAGTACTGTCTCAAGAGCTGCTGTCTCAATTGTAACTGAATTCTATTTCGCTGATACTTTCTAGGTAGATTTTGGTAATGTTTGAAATAACCAAATCATGGTTATTGATCAAAGGAAATTTTTATGGCAGTGGTTCTCAGGCTTTAGGGTACATAAGAAGCACTTGGGTGTGCTTATCAAAAGTACAGATTCTCAGGCTCACCTTTTAAGGGTTATGGTTCAGTAGATCTTTCATAGGGCCTAGAAATCTTTATTTTTTTACTCCTTTGCCAGGTATGGGTAATGCAACCCACATACCCAGTTACATGCCCAGGGTGATGCAGTAGGTTGTAGGCCTTGGATAATCAGTTCATTTTATTTTCATGATGATATTGAGAGTAATGAGCTAAGGCTATACCAACAAATAGTGAATTGTTCGGCTCTCAAATTCCAACCTAAGTGGAAAATCAGTTTAATACTTTCTGTCTGATCATCTATACTTTATTTATTGGATCTTGCTAAGCTCTTGAAATAAAGATGGATGGTTAAGAGGTAGAGCAAGTTAATATTAATAGTTATAATAGTCATTTTACTGCTTTGCAGTGTGTATAGTGTGTTATAGTTTGTAGTTTTATTTATTTATTTATTTAGAGACAGAGTTTCACTCTTGTTGCCCAGGCTGGAATGCAGTGGCACAGTCTCGGCTCACTGCAACCTTCGCCTCCCGGGTTCAAGAGATTCCCTTGCCTCAGCCTCCCAAGTAGCTTGGATTACAGGCATGTGCCACCACACCCATGAAATTTTTGTATTTTTAGTAGAGATGGGGTTCCCCATGTTGGTCAGTCCAGGCTGGTCTTGAACTCCCGACCTCAGGTGATCAGCCCACCTCCGCCTCCCAAA